CTTAAAGCGAGCACCTTGCATTTAAAGCAGGCTGTCTCTTATTTTCATAGCACCCAAGTTGATGTGGTTGTTCCCACTCCCATGTTCTTAGACTATGGTACAAATAGGTCATCAGTTGCTAGCTGTGTGCTTGGGGAAAGCAGGAATTAGCTTTTTGTTTTACCTCATACCTTAAGAAATGGGTTATTTAGTTGAGTCTGTTCCGTTGAAATTGCCTGTGCAATAAGAAGCTACTGTTCTCAAAATCTGGCTTAGCATTTCAACAAACGGTGCTTGTTCTGGGTATTTAGCTGATGGGTGTCATTAGTAGTCCTGCTGTGGTTGTTGCTGAAGGGAGTGAAGAGCTTGTAGGGTAAACTGGGTGGTAGCATCTTCTCTTGGCTATATTTGCTTCCATTCAAGTCTGTGCCTGGCTGCTTCCCTTGTGTCTCCCAGCCTGTTTGACCTGGGTATAGGGAGCGATTAGGCAGAGTCAGAACTGGGCACTAGCTCGGGTGCCCTAATTGAATGATTCGGGTTGGAAGAAGCCAAAATGGAGCAGAGAGTGATGAGTGAACAGCCTTAATAATGGGCCTGAATGGGTGGCAGACTTTAGGGACAAGTCCAGTTGATGATCTTTTTGCATCAGCTCCACCCAGAGTGGTAGATATGCCTGTAGTCTGGAGCATGTTAGTTCAGTAGTACAGAAGCTTCAAAGGTCAAATGAGCATCTTGGGAGGAAAAAAAGAAAAATGTAGCTATGGCTTCCTGGGCCTGCAGCACTGTTCTGCAAACTCTAGTGCTGTATGGTTTGACAGATGAGGGCTTTTCCCTATGTACTGGAAGTCTGAGGTCCAGTCTTTTGTGCGTATGGGGATTTCAGACAGCAGGGAGACCAACCCTGAGAGTGAGCTGGATGAGTCTGCCAGCCTGTCCTTAGTGCTCTGGCAGGAGGCAGAGTTACCTGGCTGTTCTTCGTGCAGTACAAGGAGCCACCAGACAACCACTCTCTGAGCATGGATGTGCTGGGTCTGTAACCCCGGTACTGGGGTGGAACTGGATTTATCAAAGTGTTAAAAGGCACTATTAAAAACCAAAAAACAAAACAAAAAAACTAACACAAAAAACCAAACAAACAAAACCCCCATGAACAAACCCAAAACAACAAAAGTCTGTCCTTTGGTTGCCTCTGTAGCAGTACTGAATGTGTTGTCATGGAGACCTGTATAGGTCTAAATTACTGTCCAGTTGGCTGAAAACACTTCAGTGCAGGATTGGTCATTCTGTGAATGCCATCTTTTAAAGTTAGTTCTCATCCATTCCTATACTTGATTTGCTGGGACTGCTGCAAGAACCTAGAGCAGTTTGTGGTCCTTATACCGGGCTTTAGGACAAATCCATTTAAACTCTGAGTTTCAAGTAGTGCATTATTACCATGCTGGGGCAGGTGAGGAAAGGGAGGGGGAAGTAAGGAGCTCTGAATTAATGTTCTGGATTTCATTAACTCTTGGCCTGACTTGACAGTGCTATCAGCACATTTATTTTATGAACTACTTACAGAACTTACTACAATGCTTCTGCAGGTCTTGCAGAAAACTGGACTGTGAAGTGGAACTTCTTGTCCTGACCACTGTTTTGAGACTGCTCTCAAAGTAGTTCTTGGAAGTGGAATGTGATCCTTCCCAGGATGCCAGAGCTGTGAAGGAAAAAGAAAGGCTTCTAAAGTACTCCAATGCTGCCAGAGATGGTGTCTAACCAGAGTAACAGTGCAGCCAGAAGGTAGTAGAGAGGACCACAAAGGTGACATCTGGCTAGGGGCATGAGACAAATTAGTATATGCTGATTATGCTGCTGGGATGAGCAGTAGCACTTGCTCTATAGTTAAGGTGCTTAACTTGGGCAGTGTCTGTCCTGCTAATTGCTAACTAGTTCAAAATCTCTTGGAGGGAAGGGTGTGCTCTAGCTTGAGCATGAAGTTATCAAACCAGCTCTTCTGGATGGATCAAGTTTCTTCACAGCTGTCAACACTATAGTTCTCCACCCTCTGAAGTGCTTGATTCATGGCAATGGCGGTCTTTTCTATAGATAGGTTGGGAGCTTTCAGATATACTAGGTGGGCTAGTAAAAAAAAATAAATAAATCAAACCAATATACCAACCCAGAACAAACAAAAAAGCTAACTTGATGCTCTGGACTTGATTTCCTGGTAAGTGAAATCTAATAGGAAATGAATACAGCTGAAGATGAATCTTCTCTCCTGTCCCCCCTGAGCTAAGTGAGTTCCAGGGGTGGAGAATACTGCTAATACTATTAATTGTTATGAGCTTTTAACAGGCATATTGTGTGTAAGCTCTTGATAGTACTATCTACTTATGATAGGGACAGTCTGTTTAGAAATAACTAATGATAAAAGACCACTCTACTTGTTTGTTCGGAAAGCTTCTTGGCTTGAAGAGGCTTTGGGTGGTTGTGCTCTGCACTGCTGGAAGGATGCTGCTACAGCTTGGGCTTTGAGGTCTGTTAAGGTTCTCGTGACTTCGGGGAAGGAAAAGATGGTTTTCCTTCAGATGAAGGATGAATGAAGAAAAGTTGCAGTTGCTGCTTCAGACTGTTTTACAGTCTGCCTTAGTTTACAAAACTGATACCTTACTGCAGCTGTAGTGAAGTATGCATTTAAATAAAAAAATATAAGGCTGTTTTAAGTAATCAAGTTAAACTTGTTGCCTAGGGAATACATAGAAGCAGAGGCTTTGATATGTTGTATGAATATCTGTTTGCTAAAACACAGGCGTCTCTTGCTTGGAGCTGTCTAATCTTAATGCTTCTGTCAATAGAGTTATTCCCTTTATGTTTCTAGGCTGTGATGCTGAAGGCTTTCTTTCTGAGAGTCAAAATCTTCATACCTCACCTGGGCTATGTTCTGGCATAGGAAGGACGCTACCTGTATGGGGCAAAGGCTGTTTGGTAAACACTCTTTCAAAAGAAGAGGGCTTGTTTAATTTGTGGGAATGCAAAAGCTCTAGGCCAAAGGTGAGAAGTTTTCCTTCTGGAGTGGTGACCAGTATTGTATCAATGTAGTTTGTGTAGTTTGGTGTCCTGTTGGCAGCTTTTTGTTTTAAAGTTACTCCTTCTAGGTGCCCGGCCTGCTGGCACAATTCAGTTTCCTGGCTTGCTTTGTCAACCAGTTTGAGTTAGATAGCATTGGAGTTTAGTTCTAGCTGCTCAGGATTTAAGCATTCAAGTTATTTCATTTTCAAACCAAGTACTACACTAGCCTAATCCCTTCAGAGCAATTTTTATTTTTTTTTAAGGTTTAGTTCCACTGGCCTTTGAGGCAGCACAGATTTGATGCTTGGAAATGGAAATGTCCCCTCCGATTTGCAATGAAGTGAAATGTTGTCAGAACCAGCTAAAGAGGTAGCTGCTGGAAAAGCTCCAGGGTCACCATGTTACCAGTTTTTCAGGTTCACGATAACTCAAATGTCTCGTTACATGCACGAAACAGAGTGTGTTGGAGCACTGTTCATAAGTCTGTTGCTGAGGGTGGCATCTAGGATGCAAAGTCTGGCTGACTTTGCAGGTCCTGTGGGTATTGGCAGGGTGAACAAATGAAACTGTGTCTCATAGTGTCTCATGATATATCCTGCAAGAGAACCCTGCTTCTGGGCTCCTTCCAAAGGACACATGGAGGCCATGTAACATACCTGCCTGCAGTGCATCAGGTATCTGGAGATGGCTACTTTTTGGTCTTTGTTAAAGCAGTGCTTGGAAATGCAAGCATGACTAGTAGTCCAATGTACTTCAACTCATACAGTGATTTTTCCACATAAGGAGCTGCTAGGAAGATGCCTCAATCAGATTTGTGCACAGGATGTGGCAAAATGTAAATCTGGAGTTGGAGACAATTATGTAAGGACAAAAGCGCTTCCAGATGCTTGGTAGGAAAAGTGGAATCAGGCCTGTGACACAGTTTGTTTCTGCTGTGGGACAAATTCAGTGTTGTAGTGCTTGAGCATCTTGGGCAGGTCACTTTGTTTCAGCCTCTGACCCGGTAACTCCTGAATTCTGGAAGTCAGGAGACTAGGATATTGGTACCATTGTGCTGTATGTCTGAAGTGCCCCGTTACATTAAGTTATCATTCATTAGGAACTTACATCTCATCTGAGTTATAGTTTGTTCAGCTACTGGTTGATCCTGAAAAGGTATTGATTTTTAAATTGTGTATAAAATATTATCTTAATTCTTTTTGAAAGAGTTGGTACTTACTGTTATTAAATATTGCTTAATAATGTGTCGTAGGAAGAAAATTAAGCCAGAAACGGCTTTAGTGGTTTTTTTTGTTTTTCTTATCCCAAAAGCGTTAGGCCTTGCACGTGCTCTGGAGTTTATCCTCTTGCAAGCAGTGAATGGGCACTCTGAAGTATGCCTGTATTGAGAATTGGAACAGGTCTACTGTGGTGGAATTAGAGAGGAACTTATCATCTGCCCCAGTCATCTTAGTCAGCAGTCCCAGTAATCCTGGGGTTACATATTAAATCAGTGGTCTTGTTTGTACGTGTTGGTAAGCAAAACTGAGAGAAAACATTGATTCCTGCTCCCCGCCCCCCTTATAATAGTATAAGGTGGTGGTCATCTAAAAAAGGCCTTTTTTGCTCCTTTTTGGAGCTTATTTTAAACTAATTAATTTATTCCAGATAAGAGAGAAAATGCCATTGATTTTTTTTTTTTAATGGAAGTTATATTTAAGAAGCCTTTAAAAGGGATTTTGATGTGGAAAACCAGTTTTCTTTTGTGATCTCTTAAAACAGAGGATGCTGAAGATCTGAAATGTAGACTTGTAAACAAAGCTGATAAACAGCAGTTCCCTGTCTGTTTTCATCTCACTGTCTGCATGTGTACATTCCCAAGAACATCACCCTTGCTGCTGGGAATAGAAGCCCAGCTCAAGGCTTTACTTCAGAGAAATATCTACTGCCCTAAGCTCTGACTTACTCATGTATTGTAACCTGTCAATTTGCAGGTAAGCATTATGAGGAAGAAGAGGAGGAGGATGCCCTACCTGACTCGGATGCCCTGCCAGACTCAGATGACGAGGTGGATTTGGATAAGCCGCGCCCCATACAGATTGTTCTTGCTCATGAAGATGACCATAACTTTGAATTAGACGAAGAAGCATTGGAAAAAATCTTGCTTCAGGAACACATCAAAGATCTTAACATAGTAGTTGTGTCTGTAGCAGGAGCTTTCCGCAAAGGAAAATCTTTTCTGCTGGACTTCATGCTTAGATACATGTATAACAGGGTGAGTAATTTGGATTTTTACTGCAGGAGAAAAATAGTTTGGTATTTTAGTCATCTACCTTTATGTTTTTGACTTGAACCCAGATATTACAGGTCAAACTTTTCTTACTCTTTTGGGGGTGGGGAAGCCAGCTGCTCTGTGAAGAAGTGTGTTTAAGTGACAGTCTTTCAATATACATTTTGCTGCAGTTACCAAGGCAACTTACCGGTGTACCAATGTAAGTGGGCATGAGAAGAGCTTGAATGAGGGAGTAGAGCTTTGGGGAAGGGCTCATCCAGGTGGTGGTTTGGAGGCATCTTGCTTTGACTTGATGTTCTGAAATCATATTGTAGAACTAGTTTACCCATTGCTGCAAAAAGAGTCTTATCAGGTAGCTATTGGAGGACTAAATCTGCTTAAATCGGAGGTATGGCAAAAGGGTTTCCTATTTGCTGCTTAGAATGTGTCTCTGAACATAATCCAGAAACTTCTAAAATTCTTTTCAGTCCTTGGCTAATGAATGCCTCATCCAAAATGTAATTTCTTTCCATAGTTTTTTGGCTGATGTTGTCTTATGTCTACTATACTTTGAACTCTTGGCTGACAGGGAGAAGGTGGGGTATGGCCTCCTGTGAACATACACATCTGCCTATCACAAGTTGTGGTGTTTCTTTTAATCTGCAGAGTGAATATTGACAATTCAGTGTTTTGTTGCTTTTTGAAGCTCTTGAAAACCAACAAACTAACCAGAACAAAAAGAGAACAAAAAACCCATAATAGATTCCTTTTTGGTCACTGTTCTTTGGGATTGGAATTCAAGGTAGCAGAAACTAACTGCGACTGCACCTGTATTACCTTTGTGCTAGCTGACTTGAGGAGAAATCAAGATGAAACCTGCAGTTATGGGAAGTATGGGAATATTGCAAAGAAGCTGCTGGTAGTTGGCAGATGAAGACTTCCTTTCTTTTGCTCACAGTAGTGCCTGCTATTGAATTCCTCTCACTGATTTGCCAAGAGCTCTGTAAGAAAGACACCGAGGACATGGTAGGAGGAATACAGAGTAGCAAGCTAGTGCTCCCAACTTCTTAAGACTCTTTTAACCTAGGGAGAAATAAATGTTTCATTGATAGAGTTGTTCAGTGGATGGTATTTTGTGTGTGTGTGTGTATATAAGCCCTTTTGTGTCCTGTTTATATTCAAAGCAAAACAAAATAAAAAACCCCAAACTCTCAGGAAGTATAGCAGGCTGAGCTGGATGGTGGCTGGGTAGAGATAGTGCTAGTTCCTTTCAAAAATAGAAGCAATTTTAAGCAAATACTCTAACTTGCAGATTGTGAAATAAAACCAAAGTTCATAAAGCAAAATGGATTGAAATGCTGTTTCAGCTTTGTTTAGTATGATGTCTCTCTGTTGCCTTTATTGTGCAATCACTTTTGTTTCAGTTTTTATATTGGTTTCTTTGAAAATACCATTTGTTTCATTTAACCTGAAGGTGGAGGCACACTTGGCCATCTGCTGTCACAACTAGCTCTTACCCAAAGCAGAGTGGTCCTCCCTCTGGCCAGGCATTTGCATTCTGAAGCTGTAATGCTTGCAGCCCCTTGGCTGAGCTGATCCTATTTACTGATGCCTCAGAAGACGCTTCACTTTGCCGAATTGTTTTCCTGCCAGCTCAGTGACGTAAACTGGTTTAGGAAAAGAGTTTGAAAAGCATCAGAGCTGTTGCAAACTGATTGATGGGAGTTGGGGATGAGAGAAGATAAGTCCAACACCTCTTCTTTTGAGCACTGCTGAATTATATCAAGTCAAATGGTATTCTCTATGCTTAGGTAAATTTCAGTCTGGGAGGGGAGGCCTCGGTATAGTTTTATAGTAGTACTCTTGTCTGATCACTCCATTTTCAGTCAGGCTTAATTGCGATTCTTTATTTTCTGTGAGCTAAGTACTGGATCCTGCACGAAGTGCTAAAGCATCTGCATTCAGTTTGTACACTAATCAAGCAATTTTAGGACACCCTTCACCATGGATATTAACATGCGTGATGAAAAACTTGCCAGGTTACTTCATAATCCCATCTTTTTGTCTTAAGCCAAGAGCTGGAGGTCATGTAAAAAGTTACCATTCTAAAAATCTCACTTGTGCCAGTTGAAGTCCCAGGTAGGATTTTAGCATGGCTGGGATTGGTCACTAACTTCAGAGAGGTGGGCATCTCATTTCAAGCACTGATACTCTGTGTGATGATTGGTCATTTGAAATGGGACAGAACAGTGTTCCATTTCAGTAAAACAGCAGCAGTTGTATACTTGGCAAGCTGCTGCAGGGATCCTGTGATCTTTCTTGCAGTTTTAGCCTTATTAAGAGTTGGGTGCAGTAGTGTTAGTAAATTTAGATTTAAAAGCTTTTATTACAGACGCATGACCTTCTTACTTGTATTAATTGCTAAGGTGCATTGTGTACTAATGGCACTAAGCAAATAAAACTGCATTGCTCCTTTCCTTACTATGGAATATATTTAGAGAGGTTATCTTGTAGGTGACTGATAGAAATGTAATGCAACTTCCAGCTTGATTTCATGTAGGAACAAAGTCTTTTTTTCCTCCTCCCATCTCTTGAGTATCTTTCAAGCTAACTTGATGGATGGAGACCGTTAAAATACTGACTTTTAACTAAGGAAAGATGGAGGTAACAAGCCAGGAGTTCTTCAAACTGATGTAAAGGTCAGTCAGAGACAGTTTAAGTGCATCATCCACAAGATGAAGCAGCTTCAGCTGAAGTTCTGCCTGCTAAGACACCAAAGTCTCCTGTGACACGAATCACACATGAAATTAAATGTGGTAATATCTAGTGCTCATTGAGGGACTTGTCAAAGGATTGGTGTAGTTTTGGTCTGAATCGCAACAAAGAAGGGTAATTTCTGGACCAAACTGGGAAAAAGTATCCTTGTATAAATGAAAAATGGAATGTATTTTGGAATAGTGTAACAGATTCTTTTGAAAAAGTGAAAAGCTACAGTCCATTGGTATATGCCTGTGAAATAGCATTCAGCATTGCAAAACTGTATCTGGAGTGTACTGAAGCCCAAAGCAGGCCTGGGGCTTTCATTTCTAGAGTGGTAGGTGGATGCATGAGCATCGTCTGGGATAAAAAGCTGTAGGGGAAAGCTGTGCAGGCTCTGCTTAGTCTGTGTGGTAGAGGTGCATGACAAGAAAACAAACAAGCAGACAAGAAAACAAACAAGCAAACAAAAAAACCAAAAAAACCCCACAAAAAACCACCCCTAAAACAGAAAAAGAGAGGGGAACCCCATTCCCCCCAGACAACCTACCTGTAAAGAGCTGTGTTTCTCTTCATTTAGATATCTGTGTTCATTTTCTGAATTTTTATCTACTCATTGACTTTTGCCATGTCTGATCCAAATAGCGGAGCTGAACGATGTGCCCTTAGCTTGTGAAGACTGCTGGTGCAGAGCTGCTTGATTCTTGGTTGCCTCTTAGTATGGTTTGCTCTGTATGCTGCTAGGCGTGAGCAATGTCTGCAGGGCTTTTTTTTTTTTTTTTCCCATCCCCCTTTAGAAATAAGCAGTTCCACTTACTTGTAGTATTTCTATTGTGTACAGCCCCTGGGTGCTCATGCTCTTTTCTGAGATGTGAAGAGATGTGTCTTGAGCTCTTTCCTGAAGACTGCCAGTGCAGAGTCAGCAAGGTAGAGACCATAGCCTAGTGAATTGAGTCTCCCCTTTGACCTTCTCAAAGAGCACACTTTCCTGGCTGGTGATCTTCTCTGGGCAGTCAGAGGCAAATTTATTAGATCTCTCTTCCTGTTCTGCCAGCATGCTGTGTTCTAGCCTGCGTAATAAAGGTTTTTCTCTAAGCCTCCTCATCCCTTAAACTCTTGTCTGCCTACCGCTCCTCTCTTGAAGGATTTCAGTGTATTTAAACCTAGCACAGTGAAACTTCCTCAGGGTGCCTGGTCATGCTCCTTACTTGCCCGTTACATAAACTATGTTTCTGAGTAAATGTGCTTGTATGATGGCTGGATTCTTCTGCATGAGCTACTGCTCCATGTGTTGCCTGTCCTTGGGGATGGAAGACCTTGTTACAGTACCATCAGCCAGAACTGTTAGCTGTGAACTGCACTTGACTCTCTGATAGCCTTTACCAAAGTGGGCAACGTGCCCGCAGCATTTTAATATGAATGGGTTGATTGACATGTATCAAACTCAAAATGGGACCTTTTCTCTTGAATGCTAATCACTTACAAAATACGTTTTCCTAACTGTGAAAAGTATGGATTGTAGATCCTTCTGGTTCTTGTCTGGTCTCTTTGGCTTCTGCAAGCTGGTGTTGGGAGTCTCCTGCTGGCCTCTGGCAGTGCAGGGGCTTAGCTGCTTGGCTGGTTTCAGCAGCTGACTTGTTTGTGAGGAGGAAGGGAGAGGATTAAATCGAGATCAGGTTTTTTTGTTCCTTGCAGAGGTTTAGCTGTTCCTGCAGTTAAAATACATACCGTTTACAACTGTTTGAGTTGAGTACTCTCAACTGTGAGATGAGCATGAGTGAGAAGTGGAGTCAGGGGACAAAATGGAGCTGTTCTCATTAGCTCTGGGTGCTTGAGACTTGAATTGCTGCACACATACGCTCTTCAGTGGCTGAAGAGTTGGGCAATCACTGAAATATAGTAGACTCAAAGTTTCATTGTGTATGATCCTTGAAATGCAGCAGAGTGGCATTGTGTTTTAATATTTTGTGTAGGCTGTCAATTAGCTCTGAGGGAAATGAGTGTGGAAGTCTGCTAAAACATAGCATGTTTAAAAAAAAATAATCTCCTCCTTGGTTTTAAATAAGTTTTTCCTTTTGTTTTGTAGACCTCTCCATGCTGGATAGGTGGAAACACTGAGCCATTGACAGGTTTTACATGGAGAGGTGGATGTGAACGGGAGACCACTGGCATTCAGATTTGGAGTGAAGTGTTTGTAATTGATAAACCCAATGGAACGAAGGTAAGTGCTTGATTTCAATAGGTGTATGTAAGGATTTTTGCCTCTGCGTGCATACCTTTAATGCAGTGGGTTTCATGGAGGCAGTTCAGTTGCTTTCCTTTGCGTTCAGTAGCTGCATAACGTATTGGGAAACATTCTGTCAGTGCAAGTATGAATTTTCCTGCTGGGTTGTAAGATTCAATCTCCAGCAATAGTCCCGTTCTGAGAGTACCTTGTTATGGCAAAGTCTGCTGTGCCCAGGCTGATGGGTGGCTGTTGTAGAGCTGTAATGGCTATAAATACCATATATAGACAAAGACTGGGATAAGAACAGCTCTGTAACAAATACTTTTTTGAGAGGTCAGAACATGTTCTAGCTTGTAGCTGTGTCCTAGTGAAATGCAATACATGGATGTAAGCACTGGAACAGCTGCAGTGTCTGAAGTTGGTCCTTCCATATAGCTTAACAGGTAGTCTTTTAAAAAAAAAAAAAGACTTAAGTCTAACAGTGGGATAAAAGGTACTAATTATTCTAATCAAGCTGATGCATCTTTTTTTAACTCTAAGTCAGTTTAACTGCAAAGTTTAGTTGTGGGTGTTTATCTTCATGCTGAAACAAAGTGTTAATGTTGTTAATATTTACTCCACAATACTGGTGGTGCATCTTGAGCTATTCATGTTCTTCTGAACCGTAATCTCTTGGTTGTTTAGCTTTCATGCTCTTTGCTTTTGCAAAGGAAACATCTGATGGCCAAGTAATATGGAACACCAGTCTTAAACAAATAGTGACTTAAGGACGGAATTTTTATCAGATTTTATAGCTAACCAAGGAGTTCTCTGGCTAAAAAATAGCGATTTTGTGAGGATCTGTTTGTGTTCTGGGGACAAATCACTCCCTCGTTCTCGCTTATCGGTCATCTCTAACTGAAAGAGAAAGGAATTGTAGTAGATCCCAAAGATATGGGAATTTGATAGATCAGCCTTTGTCATTAAGATTGCTTCATTCCTTGTTATTCCAGCAGACAGATCCAGTATCAATTATCTTGTTTTCTTCTGAAAATGATTATTTTTATATAGATGTATTTTTAAAGTAACCTTGCTCTTAGCTCTAATGAACTATGCTGGATTGTCAGCTGAGACTGAAGCTCTTCCAGTGAATGAGAGCTGTCTGTTACTCTGGGCTGTACCCCTACTGGGCTGAAGGAGGCTATTTCTGCGGGAGAGGGTAAATACTGTAGCAAGGCCAAGAACTTGAGGCTGATGATCTGGCCCTAAAGTTTGCTTGCTCAGCTGTAGATGTGTATAGCCAGGTGTGCAGAGAGTTGACTGAGGTTTAGTTAAGTAGATAAAGGGGCGAAGACTTGCTCTACTTGAAGTAGAATTTATCCCAATGGCCTGGAGCTTGAAAGTGTTAACAATTTGATTAACTGCTGCTGCCCTTTAAAACTTTCTAGGTTGCTGTACTACTCATGGATACCCAAGGTGCCTTTGATAGCCAATCCACTATCAAAGACTGTGCAACGGTTTTTGCTCTGAGCACCATGACGAGTTCTGTCCAGGTGAGAATACCTGTGCTGGCAAATAGTGGCAGCTGTAGGAACCCTCTGTCCTGAACATGCAAAGAATATCTTTCTAGCCAGCCTTTGAAAGTTCACCTTCGTGTTTTCCTCCAACTATCATTTAAGCTTTCATACTTAATGTCTTAATTTCAGTATAGTATACTGTGTAAGTTTCTCTGAGGAATCATGATTATCAAAGGCCAAGCTGAGTTAAATTGCTGATGGAAATGGGAAATCCAAAAAAAAGATATCAAGGTAACAACTGCTTCTGTAAAGATGTGTCACAGAATTTTTTTTAAGACTTTAGATGCAGTTCAGGGTGCAATTATACTGTGATCAGCTAAACTTACAATTGCTGCTACTGTTAAACTTCTGACACTTCACTTGAGCTATGCCCAAAACTGCTTTAAAGCTTGTGCCTTAAATGTGCCAAAAGTGACCAGTTTCTGAGGGATGATAAATGACCTTCAGACATTTCACAACATGAAAGTAACAGGAGTATGTAGAACACTACTTCTGCCCTGTGGTTTGTTTTTGGTGGGTGGGTGGGTTGGTTTGACATTTTTGCTTGTTTTGTTCCCGTGGTTAGGATAAGTTGTAGGTTATTGATGCTTTTTTGAGTTTACTGCTGTTCAGTATTCGTGTTATCGAAATAATCATGAGTTCCCTGGATAAAATCAGGTTTCTCTGAGAAGATTTGAAAGCAAAAAAACCACCTGGGTGAACTAACTACCCAGTCATTTCTGTGTTGGAGATGCAGCTGCTGGATCACTGAATCCTAGAGTGTATGGACTTGAGGATGGCAAACAGATGTGCACTTCTCAGTCCTCCTGTCTCTCACCTGTGTGGTGATTTGAAGCATTCAGCGGTCTTCTCTGATTCCTTTATGGCTTGCTTCCTTGGAAAGAAGCTCTTTCAAGAATAATTGGGGTAGTCAGTAGTGGTTTTGTCCCTAGCACTTTGTCTAAGGAAGTGACTTTTGAGATGCGTTCTGTGACACCTTTCTAGTTGCTGACTTTCAGGTAGTTTGACTTTTCTGGAGGGAGTAAAAATACTCAAAATATCTGAAAGAGACTATGTGAATGTAAGAGAATGGGTTTGTGTTACACTGTTAATTCTTTTACTGTCTCTTGCAGGTATACAACTTATCTCAGAATATTCAGGAAGATGACCTTCAACATTTGCAGGTAAGAATATGCTGAATTTGTTAAACTACTTCTGAACTGATAGTCTTGACATTGTTCTTGAATTGTTCTTACCACTATTGTAACTGATTTGGGAGCTGCCTGCTACTTCAATATAAAACACTGAAGCTGACCTGATGCTAAAACTAGTACTGCCTATAACATCATTTGCATTAACTCCATGATGCTGTGATGCTGCTGCTGTGCCAAAATAGTACAGGCTTCTAATCTGGTTAAGTCTTCTCTTTTTAAACTCTGTTCTCTATCTGGTAAGTTCTGAAATTCCCAAAAGGATGAGAAATGAAATGATTTATGGATGTACTTAATGAGAAAATTCCAATGTTTCCCCTTTTTCCATGAAATAAGAAAATGGGTGATATTTTGTATCTACTTTCTAAATAAATGTGGGACCTTGGGTCAGGGTCAGAGTATCTTCTACCTAGAAGCCTTCTCTAGTTTTCCAGCTGAGAAACTTGTACAGATTTTTGTTTCTGCTTAGAAACAAAAGCAGGAAAGAGTTGTCCTCTCTTTCCTGTGGGGTTTTCATCGTCTAATGGAACATTGTGGTCAAAGGCCGCTGCATTCTGGCTTCATGTGAAAGGTGCAAGAACCTTATCTGCTTAACTTAAAACCTGTGGCTTTAAAGGCTAGCTTGTGTATTAACAAATGCCAGCCTGTGCTCAGGCCATGACCTTGTCACAGCATAAAACCGTTTTATGTGTCTTCTGATTGAAAGGACTTGTGTCTTGGTCAGTGCTGCGAAAGACTGGCTGCCAGTACTGGAAGTAGAGGAGCACTAACTAAACATAGTCTTGTGATGCTGTTCTCAGTTACCGGAGCTGTATCGCTGCGCTGACACCTCCCCCCCGGCTCCCCTGAGGAAAGCCTAACCAAGCACCGCAAACAAAAAAAGCCTTAACTGTGTGAAAGCCAGGCTTATCCTCATGGCCTTTGGTCCTTTGACAGCCTCAGTGCAATCTGAATAGAGAGATCCCTTTCTGGATCCTGGAGGGGAGAGATTTGAGGGAAGGGAAGGAACAGGAGAGTGATGAATATTAAGCAGTGGGTGGCAGACCCCCATACATTTAAAGTTGGGGCAAGGAATTGTGAGCTGAGGGAAGGAAATTCTGAATTTGTTACAACAGGAATTTCTGTTATTCTGAAATACTGTTGGTCTCTGGCTACCTTTTCCATGCAGTAGGGAAGTGAAGGGGATAGGGAGTTAGGGTCAAAGGAGCCAGTCTCATGTGAGCGCTTGGCCACTTCAGAGCTGCTTTTGCTAAGGTTGACAAGAGCTTGGAAGTTAATTTGTGTTAAATTAATCTTGTAAGTTCTCACATGCTCCTGTAGTCAACAGAGGGGGAACTGTCCTTTTGGCCATGAAATTTATCTCAGCTGTTGCAGAAGGTAGTCTTAATGCAGAAGAACAGTTGCCTGGTATTAGAGGATACCAGTGCGCTTCCTTCATCTCAGCCTCCAAGATCCTTAAGGGGGCTAGTGCGGATCAACACCTGATGGTGTTGACCTCTGCTGAAACAGCCAGCATAGTCCATAATTCATGTTCTTGTGGGTCATCTGGCCCTCTCGTTCCAGTGAGGAATGCTGGTGGAGTTAAAGATGGTGAAAGCAACGTGAGGAATGCAGCTGACAGTTGCCTTTATACTAGAAGAAAGAACAATTATCCCTTAAGGTCACAGGATGAAGTACAGATTTGGGAAGCTGCTGAACTTGGCTTGTATTTAAATGTCTGATACATCAGCTCTAGCCAAGTTCCTTGAGATTTCCAGGAATAAATCTTTTGTGGGAAGTAAGGGGCAAATGTTAGGCAGGCCTACCTGCTTAGCCTAGGAAACGAGCCTGAGGGACGCAGCCAGCTTTCCTCTGAGAATAGCCCACGGGCCACCCACTTAGAACTGTGGTGTGTTGACAGTTATGGAATGGCACTGTGACACCAGTGGAAATCATATCTCCTTCCTGAATGTTACTGAGGATAAGTGTACTTGTTCCTGAGGTGTATTTGCCATTTTCAACCCATAATAGGATTTAAGCTAGAATGCTTTATCTTCTAGTGACGTAATAAACTGTTTTAGTGTAGAAAAATGTGGTTTATTTGTGGCACTCTTACACTCTTCTTTCTATCAGTTGTTTACAGAATATGGAAGACTAGCTATGGAAGAAATTTACCAAAAGCCGTTTCAGGTAACTATATGTTAAATGGAACTTAAGCAATTGAATGTGTAGAAAAATGAGCTCAGGATAATTTATGAAGAGAAATGAGCTGGGCTGAAGCTAGCTTGTTCTTTACAAGAGTGATATTTTTTTTTCTTCCCTGTCACCACATTTCTTGGCAAAATCACAGTGGAAAAATGCTGAGGAGGATCACATTTTGGGCAAGTATAGCTTTGTGCCTGAGTTATAAGGTATAAAAGGAATGAAAGTGTCAAGTGATGTGGAGATGTTAAGGAGAAAAGTTTCATGCCGCCTTCTTACTCATTACTTGGTGGTACGGGATACAGTTGGCTTTAAGTACAGGTCATGAAGCCTCTAAGAAATAGCACTGAGAAGTCCTATGTTGCATTTCACTTACTTAAAGCATTACTGGCTTCAGCGTCGAAAGTCTCACCACTGCTAGCATCTTCTGAGTGTTTGCTAGGCCAGAGAAGGTTTTGAGGCTGCTTGGGCTTAGTGGAGACAGACTGAGATCTCTTCCATCCTAAGGTGGTATTAACCTCTAAGGTGTACTAGTTGACTGTTGTTAGTGATGAGTTTTAAGACTCTTGTGTCTCTAGAATATTCAGCCAAGTGGGAGTTCCCGATGTTCTTATGATTGGCCCGGGCAACACACATTCTTTGTAAAGTACCTCATCTGATATAAGAGCAATGTCAAGGTTTGTAATCCCTGTGGGAAAGCAAAAGGCAGACCCATGGAACAGGGAAGCTGTCTTTTTCAGACACTTGGATACTTCCTTTCAGATAAGGAGTGAGGGTTTCATTGACTGTGTGTTTTTTGGTTTTTATTTGGTTTGGGTTTGTTGTGTTTTTTTTTTTTTTTTTTAAACAAGCAAACACACCACAAAACTACAAGGCTACTTCATTTAGAGCAGCCAAGCTTGTTAGATTATTAGATTATTTTAAGTAAAAACCAAACAATCATGTGTGATTGAGGTTTTTGACCTTAGGAATGATGCAAATCATTCACTGCTGCTGTTCTCCCTGTTACAGACACTAATGTTCTTAATTAGAGATTGGAGTTATCCTTATGAACACGCATATGGCTTGGAAGGAGGAAAAAAGTTCCTAGAGAAAAGATTACAGGTAAGTTATCTCCAGTAGTCCTAATGTGGTTTTCTAACTGAAGTGACAACTTACTATCAACATAATGATGCACAATGAGCTAAGTCTTTCTGCTAAAAAACCTACATTTGTGATGTTCCCCACTCGTGGGGGGTTCTGGGATTTAGAACTTGATGTTTTTAGGCTCAGGAATGAAAGCTTAAACACACTTTCATACTCTTATTGCTTTTAAGATGATATTTAATCTTAATTGCAATACTGCAAAACTATTAGCAGCTCTCACTTCCTTTTTTTTTTTTTTAATCTTCAGGTAAAGCAAAATCAACACGAAGAGCTACAGAATGTAAGGAAGCATATTCACTCCTGTTTCAGTAATCTTGGCTGTTTCCTGTTGCCCCACCCTGGTCTTAAAGTTGCAACAAATCCAAATTTTGATGGGAGGTTGAATGGTAGGAAGCTTTCCATTGTGTGTTTCTTGATTCAGATCTCTCAGTTTATTTTCTTTTATAATGGAAGTTAAACACTGAAATAATTGGCTATTGAAATGTTTGATTGGAAAAATGTAAGGCTAGAAGGTGAAACTATGGAATCTGGAAATGTGCATCATGTTTTTTTCAGTGGTTTAAATGTAGAGGAGTTAAGCAGGCAGAGGAAATGAATATCTTTGTGTCTGGCTGTTGATTGTAATCTGATAACTTGAGACATACCTAGAGGTCATTAAATAAGGATTCTAAAGGTAAGTAAGGATTTCAGAGGGGCGAATTCACAGAATTGAAGACTTTTATTTTCTTAAAACTACAAGGCTTTTCTCTAAGAACTTGCTAAACCAAATGTCAGAACTAGAATGACTTTAAAATAAAAGCTGTAGGTTTCTGCAATTGCAGAATGAGAGGCAGTCAGGATTCCTCCAATTGCTGCTTGTCCCCCCCCAACGGAGGGGATATCAAAGCTAAAAAAAGTGGGTTTGTGATAGTGGGATGCCAACTGCTTCTGGGCAGAGGGCACAGACCTGTGGGATGTTGGTGTAGTTGGGGAAATGCACTTCAAATATTAAGATATGGAACCTTGTTCTCAGTCTGAAGCTTAAGAGTAGGGAGAATTTACTAAAGCTACACTATGTATTTAAGCCTTTATCTTAAAAATGCAGTTAAGAGTTATGATGCTCTGGGTTTTGAAAGGTCATGGGGTTATCAGGGTTCCTTTAAGAAACGTAAGATTGAAAAGAAAACTAACTACTCTTTTTCTCTGAAATTGTTTGAATTTTACTAGATATAGATGAGGATTTTAAGAAAGAACTGCGGAATTTGGTGCCACTACTGCTTGCCCCTGAAAACTTGGTAGAAAAAGAGATTAGTGGATCCAAGGTGACCTGTAGAGATCTTGTAGAATACTTCAAGGTAAGCAAACTCACACTAATTATTTCTGTTAATGGCTTAAAAGAAAGTATTCTAATTTTAGGGCATGTTGTTCCCAGAGAAGATAAAATATCTAGGCTGACACTCACCGATCAGCTCGCTTTTTATTTTCATTTCATTACTCTGACTTTCCAGAACTGGCACACAACTCCCTAACAATATAGCTCTTAGGAAGCTACTATTAGCAAAACTCTGTTGTGTTTTGGTTTTTTCCTTTGTAAATAGGCTGAAATACTTCAAGCTGTATTAGAGACTTTTTTCCTACTTTGGAATCCTACTTTCTCTTGATATGTTGCCGTTTTATTTTTTTATTAAGAATTATCTCATGTAGATTGTACAGATAGAAAGCCAACTCTTGAACTGCTAGATATGCAGTGAAAATTTCAGATACTCCCCTCTGGATTTTTAACATGCAAGGAAGATGTTTTCTAAACAGTTGCATGTGCAGTACCACTCTATGCTCTGAAATGTTTGTGTGTGATACTTGCAGCTGTTAAACTCTTGAGCTGTTTTGGTATCATGGTGACACCAGCAGAAATGTGATAACATAATCCCTGCATCACCAGGTCTGGTGTGTGTAACTTTTTTTGAATTGGAATGACTTAAACAGTTGGCTTGGTAGGAGAAAGTGGTACTCATTCCTAAAGACGTTAATTTTGTATTACTCCTTTTGAGCATGCATATTAAAGGTAAAACAGAGTTGGGCTGATTTTTTTTTTTTTTTTTTTAAAAAAAAAAAAAAAAAAAGTGGATGCTCCTTTTCAGGATTTAAGTGAAGGACTTAGCTTCTTTTCTATATTCACATCACAGTGCCTGGGATGTCAGTACTCTGGCTGTAAATTGTTGCCCAGTATTTCTAAACAATCCAAGCTCAAGAACTGGACTCATGCTTTCAGCAAACTGGAGGACTTTCAAGTAGAAGCAGCTATTTTTAAAGCAAATTTTAGAACAGTCACCCCCTGGACCGGCCTGCCCAGGGAGGTGGTGGAGTCGCCATCCCTGGAGGTATTTAAGAAACGTGCAGACATGCTCTTCAGGGCATGCTCTAGCGCCCAAGATTATTGGTTTGTGGGTGGGTGTGATGTGGCGGGGGATCATGTTTTTTGTTTTGTTATTTGGTTGGGGTTTTTTTGTTGAGTGGGGGGTTTTTTTTTTTTTTTTTTTAAAAAAAAAAAAAAAAAGCTATGTGAGGGAGGGATCTGAGACCAGAACTTCTTATAAAGGAAAGATGTGAAATGGGATGCAGAAGTCATGGCTGTTCTGACAAGTGAAAAAAAAATCAACACTCTGGTTGCATGCTGCTTTTTGTTCCTCTTTCTTCTCTGGTAAGACCTGATCCTATGCAATGTATGGAGTGCACATTCAACAGCAGTTTAGAAAGGACTGTGCCCTAAAAACTGGGTGTAAAACCTCCTCTCTTGAAGAGCTGCCCACTTAGTGTCCTGCGTGCAGGCTGGGAGAAGCTGTGCAGGGTGTAGCACAAACACGGTGCTTATGTAAGGAAAGGGGACTGCTCCCTCGGGACTGTGCATCTGCTGCTGAGAGTGAGAAGTCTGAGTTGGAAACTGGAGGGCTTTTACTTGGAGGAAATAGCCACAGAAGCAAGGAAGGTGTCAAGGGAACAGTCTCCTGTATAACTCCATACGTTTTTGTAGGTTGTCCTACAACCTAGAGCATTGGGTGTATAGGGACATGGATAACCTTGCTCTCTCCTCCTTTACAGAGAGAAATTCTCAGGGCAGAGGCTTGTAGACAAGCCTGGTGGGGGAAGAGCAGTAGTGGCATGAGGAAGAGTAACTACCCAGCTTCTGAGGGGCTGAGGGCCTTGTTGGTGTGACTTGTGCAGCTTGGCCAAAGTGCTGGAATGGCTACTGCTGCCTGCTGTGCCCCCTCCCCTTGTCTGTCCCAAAGAGTTGTCCCTCCAGCCAGCTTGTGGGCTGGAGAAGACATGAAGGATGTATTCTCTTCCAGCCTTCTGAAACCCTGGTTTCAGAACCCTAAAGAGCACCTGAGGGTTGATGGGATGAGGAACAGCGGGATCGGCCGCTCGCTTGGCTTTCAGAAGTATTTTGGTAGCTCACCTCTGTCTGCAGTACTTCTTTGATCTGCTTTTTTTTAATTATTATTATTCTCACACTTGAAAGGCATATGAGGAAATGTAAGTACTGGCTCTCCCAACACTGGGGTGTGTTCAGACAGACCCCTTGCCAGAAAGGCTGTGCAAAGTAGTCATCTTCACTCTTTTGGGTGAAGATTCCCTGCCTAGCAAAGACTTTCTTATGTATTTGAGGGAGCAGAAACCTACTGTCAAGCCTGTCGCTGAGTCTTCTCAAGGTGCTCGCTACCCTGCCAGGCCCCAGCTTCAAATGCATGGGAAAGTAAAGGGATTAAAGCACTAGGGATAACTGTGAGAATGCCAGACTTGTGTGAAGAAATTTGCTTAATTGAGTATTTAGTGTTATTACAAAGAAATAACCAACGAGTTTCATCTTTATATCATCCCTCTCCTCTCCTTCTCCTCAATCATAAATGTTTAGGAAAAAGAAACCTTTTTATTTTTTTTCTCTCCCATTTAGGCTTATATTAAAATCTATCAAGGAGAGGAGCTACCTCATCCGAAGTCTATGCTGCAGGTATTTTATTTTTCTTTTAAATAATCTGATAAATGTGTACTTTGCAAGCTCTTTGCAGTTGAAGACCGTGACTGCAGCAGGTCTGAAGCTCCCACATGCAGAACTGTAGTTCTTGAAGGAGCTGCACGCTTTGAAAGCCACCTGAACTGTGTAGCCTGAGTACACGTTTGTGTCTTCCCTGAGTTCTACCTACCAAGCGGGGGTATATCTGGTTGGTTGGGTTCCTTTAGCTGCTTCAATTTCTAAGCATGTGTTTCCTATAACTTGCTGGTTTGTCTTCAAGACTATATTTTGCCGTTCAGACTTGGGTAACTGCCATTGAGGTTTCTTTTCTGGGTTGATCCAAAGAGGATGTAATCAGCTTTAAAGCAATCTGAACGCAAAATGATTGTGTAAAGCTGTGTGTTGAACCCCTGCATTGTTTGGGGTGAAGAGCTTTAACTAAAGGGTCAGTTAGGCTGTAGGGTCAGTTTTAACCATTTTGGATTTGTAAGATTTGGCTTTTTTAAGTTGCCTCTGTCACTTCATTAAAACATGACTGTTCTGGGTGGTTTTTTGTCCTTCAAGGAATCAAATCTTTAGACTTTTGGGGGAGTTCAGAAAACTCATCACAATGAAACAAAAGCTGCTGTCACTTCCTCTACTTAGCATGCCATAAATGTGACTGGGAGATGCAGAAGATGACATCTTGCAGCATTAGCTAGAGTTACTGTCCCTGACAAGACACAGGTTGAAAATAGACTTAAATTCTTACAAATTTTGATACAAAACCTGCACATATATAAAGCAGAAATAATACCAGGTTGTTTCTTCCCTCACTGGTAGTGATGTATCAGGATTAACATTTAATAGTTTAGCCATCCTTATTTGTTTATTAAGAATAGACCATTCAGGATAGATTGCTCATAATGAAAAGCTTGTATGAGCACACGGGAGTTTGTCTGCAGCTGTACTAGAAAGCTGAGGAAAATCTTTTCCTAGCCAGTAATCTATTTGAATGTATATTGCTAACTCTGCTGGTTTTGTGGGGTGTTTTGCTGGCAATCTGAAGCTTTGGAGGTTGGGGGGGTATGTTTGGCAGTGTAACTACACATGTGTAACTCGCTAGTGATTCTGTGCTAATACATGGTGCTCAATGTTTTCTAGGCAACAGCTGAGGCAAACAATCTTGCTGCTGTGGCAGGAGCTAAAGACTTGTACAGTAAAGGCATGGAGCAGGTACGATGACACAACTTCTAACTGCCTACATGCAAACACAGGCTCTCTGTTTTTTCTCTCTACTTGGTGCTGGCTGTGAGCATGGAGAAGAGTAGCTTAGGGCCAGTATCCTGTGTTTTCTGCACTCTGCTCTAAGGTTAAATGTGTGATGTAGCAAAAAAACCAGGATTCTTTGAGACAGAAATTGCTGGGGAGGTATGGGAATGGGCATGTTTGTAAGAGACCACCTGTTAGTTCCCCCTGCTGCTCTTGACAGACCGTGATGTGAAATGGGCAAACAGGTGAGGAGACATTTGGTGGGCCAGGGTCACACAAGGGCAGAGTTCCAGTACTAGAATCTCATGCTTCTGAATTGTGGTCATTCATTAGCTGTCAAATGCGAGGGTTAAAATTATTCTAAAGTTTAAAAGAAACCCCTTGAAATAGAAGAATTATCTTGTCTGAAAAAGCTGTATATATAATTTTCTACTTGCTGCTTTTCTTGAAGATAGTGACTTACAACACTGCAAACTGAATGTCTGGATGGAATTCATACTTGAATGTACCATTATGCAAGGTTTTATCATAGGTAACTTTGAAAACAATTACATGTTTCTTTAAGCTTAACAGGACTATGCTGATTGTGAAACTATGACTGGAAAAGACCAGTAGGTGTGGTAACTCACTGCAAACATAGCTCCCCGTTAACTGGGCTAATTCTGGTCTTAATCACTGAAGTAGCTTTCCATTTTGAAATTCAAGTAAGACGTAACACTAGTGGCAGACTAGCTGGTTCCTGTTGTTAGCAGTCTGTTTTGAGAATGTTCTGCTGGTGTAGAGGGACTCTCTTGTTTGTGTCCATTCTGGAAAATCTCTTGAAATGGTAAACGGGTTGTTTATAATAAATGCTAAGTCTGCCTTTCTACCTTGAATCTCCAACAGCAGCTGAGACACTGTAGTTGTAGGTTTCTTACTTGGGGCAAGGAATAAAAAGGAACAGATGTTCTCTTAAACAGACTTTGTTTCCATAGTAATGTTCCCTAGTACTGTGTATTTTTATATCGCTGTAGAGATACATACAAATGTCTCAAATCGTTTTTCATCCAGATGCCTCAGATGATGTTCTTAATGTGACATAGCTCTGAAATGTCTATTTTTAGGAATAGAAGTAGGAACTCTTTGGATTTAGGACTGGATTATGTAAAGATAGTTCTTACTGTAGCTTCTGAGTTTTCCTCATGCACCGAAGCCCTCCTTTGCTGAGTGTGCATAACCAAAATACTGTCCACCTAATGTAAAGGTAAGGAACAGCAGTTGCAGCCACACAGAGGATAAGAAGACAGTGGCAGTTATTTGTCTGGTGGTCTTGATGCAGCAGCAGCTTCTGGCGTTGAATGCTCCCTGCACAATGTGAGAAGACCACTTTGGAGGATGAGGCTAGTGAGGTCTGCCTTGAAGAAGCTGGCCAGGGAAGCCATGCGTTTTGTGAGGCAGAAAGGGGATGCTGGACTCCTGAGACTGTAATCCTCTCTGTGTGCTGCTGAAGGGATAGCAGCAGGACAAGGTTAAAGTTGTTGCTGCAGTCAAGACACGAGATGACAAGCATTGTGATAAGCCTGCCTTGAGTCAGGAGAGGGAAGGTGCTTGTTTGACATCATATGGAAAGAATCTTCAGTTTTTAGACATAGTCTGACTGAGGATCTGGAGGAGTTGGAGCTGATCTGAAGTATGTATCTCTCTGCCTAGGTAATCTCTAATCATAGCTTTCAAGAGGTCAGAAATCAGTCCTAGAGAGTAGAAGTCCTTGGAGTCTAACCATTTTTATAGCCATGCTGATTCAGGGTGAGGAAGATCATCATGGGTACCCGTTTGAGATTGTGGTTTTGTCCCTTCAGCAGAAAAGTTGATCAGAATATGTCTAGAGGGCAGTCTAGGGAAGAATAGGCTAAAGATGTCAGCAGCTAGTTCTTGTTAATTTATATCACCTGGTAAGTTCCATGGAGCCTGCTAGTGGCAGCAATAAACAGGAATATACTTGTTGAGTGGGCAAAATTGACACTGTTTTTCCAAGTCCTGCACTCACCCTCTCACAGAGGGTGGGAGGGCTTGTGGCCTTCAGTTCTCCTTAGCCTTCCTCAAGCCAAGCTTTCTCTACTTCCTGGTGGTCCTTTATTTCACCTGTTTATAACAGGAAGGTACGTGTGACCCATGTCCTGTCCTTCTGGGCTTGCCAGAAGGGAACAGTTGAAAGTATGAGCTGAGTTGTGTGCTAGAGCTCTGTTCGCGGTGAGACAGGAGAGGCGCTTGCTGTGCCGTGGTGCAGAGTTACTTTAGCTGCTTCACCTCTGCTTTCTGTACTCAGGGTGTGATGACCTCTTCTCTGATTGCTCTGACAGGTTTGTGGGGGAGATAAGCCTTACATCGCCCCATCGGACCTGGAGCGGAAGCACCAGGATTTCAGAGAGTCAGCTGTCAGGCAGTTCCGCTCGGTGAAGAAGATGGGAGGGGAGGAGTTCTGTCGGCGCTACCAGGAGCAACTTGAAGTGGAAATCGATGAGATCTATGCAAACTTTGTGAAGCACAACGATGGCAAAAACATCTTTTATGCTGCTCGTACCCCTGCCACTCTATTTGCAGTCATGTTTGCCATGTATATAACCTCAGGACTGACTGGGTTCCTTGGTATGAACTCCATAGCTACCTTGTGTAATCTTGTGCTGGGGATGGCTCTTATATCGTTTTGTACTTGGGCCTACGTTAAGTACTCTGGGGAGTTCAGAGAAGTTGGAACAGCCATTGATCAGATCGCCGAAGCTATATGGGAACAGGTTGGTATCCATTTTTTAATGCACAGTCTTCCTTTCTTGTGCAGACAGTTTCTGTTCAGTGTTGTGAGTGAAAAGCTGGTCTTGGCTTAATGGAGAACGCTAGTGCTGCCCAGGGGAAAATCAGCTCAGAAGTGTGAGTGCTCTCTTGGTAGGGGATGGCACACAGAATGTTAAACTAGGTTATTATCAAAACGGTGTTAGTTAAATTAACACTGCAGCAGCTGTACCAGGTGCTTGGATGGTGAAGAGTGGAGAGACTTTTAAAAAATCTTGTTACTTTTTCAGAGCAAGGAATTCTGCTTTTAGAGGTATGCTTAAAGTGATAAACTTGCCTTATGGAAGTGGTGGGTAAAATATTTCAGGTGGTGCAAGAAATGGGTGAGGTGAAACACTGCTGCCCTCCCTCACCTCACCTGCCAGTGTGACACTGGAGGGCTTGTTAGACCTCAGAGAGAACGAGCTGAGGACTTGCAGCAGCTGCTACAAGAGGATGTACAGCAGGTGTCTTCCTTCAGGAAGACTTGTGTTGTCTGTGACAGCGTCAGTTGGTGCAACTGCTCTTGCAAGAAATACTTGCCAGGCAGACTAATTCCTGAGAGAAGAGGTGACATGAGTGTAAGAGTACCAAAGCTGGAGGAGAAAACCTTCTGTACAGAGATTTTCCTGCCTGAATCCAGTTGACACAGCTGTGTCAGTAAATCCAATGTAGAGAATTCCTGACCAACTCTCACGAGTAGTGTGGAGCATTCTGAGTAGATGTGTCCAGTGCCAGCAGAAGAGAAGCACTTTGGTGCTATGGTTATGAAAAATAAAGGGCTCACTGAGCTTACCTGGGATAACATTGGATGGGTCCTACGAGGCACGAGCAGATAACTAACTGGAGCCTTCTGTCCAGAGGCTCTCTGGCATCTGAAAAATCACTCTGTTCAAGGCCCATCTTAAGCAGGAACGCTGGGTCTTTCTCAGCAACCAGGTAAGGTGATGAGTTACACTGAAGCAGAAAAAGTGGATTTCTAGTAATAGGAGAGAAATGAGCATCTGGGTACTAAATTGAGTTACAGCCCTAACTAGTGATTGCAGCTGAGGCTCTCCTGTACTGCTGTAGCTTCTTGCCTTGGTGTTTGGGGCTGAAGAGCACTGCAAAGGAAGGGGAAGGTGTGGGTTCCACGTGTAGTGCTTGCTGAGTGCAGCTGCTGCTGTAGGACACCCAGGGCACAAAAGGCTTTGTTTGTCTGCTGACCTTCCCTAGAAGGGGAGAACTTGGCTGGTGCCAGCAGGAGCTTGCCTGGGGGTGGGCTCGGGGGAGGTGGTCTCCAAAAGAGCTTGCTGTTGCTGCACATCACCAGTAACATCCAAAGCAGTTATGGTTCCTGTATGAGTCACACTGATTATATGCCATGTTCTTGCTGTTGATTTATCTGAATCGGCCTTTCTTTTCCCTCCTTGCTTCAGAGGAATCCCAGGAAGGTGAGAAGTTACTGGCAATCAGTTTCTTTTTCTGAACGTGACTTTTTCTGCTGCCTTCTAAGAGCCACTTTTTCCTAACACCTGAATTCATGTTTTAGGTGTTTTCCAAACTCTTTGAAGTCCTTAGACGCCGAACGATTCGCCGTGCTCTTACATCAGTGCCACGACAGCGACTTTCATCCAACAATAACAAGAAGAAAAACTAGCCAGTATTTTTAACTTTCTTTCTGTATCTGAAGTGTTCACACTTACACATATAGGACAATAAGCTGGACCGTCTGGGCCGGTCTGCATAAATGCTGTAACCATACCAGACTGATGCTGCATATAGGGTATGGAATTGCACATCCATCTTCTAAGAACTGTACAGTGGTTTGAGTTCAGTGAAATACTGCTGTGTAGGAGGGATATCACTTGTGTCCATAGCATGTGACTGATTTAACCTCATTACTGTAGCAGCGAAACTCATTTCTCTTTCAGTTCATGCCAGTTTGTGTCAGACTTCAGCATTCTGAGTTTTCTCATTATTTCGAGTCTCATCTCTTTGTATGTTTTTATATTTTATTTTCCTTGGTTACCTCATTTTTTTGTTTCTTTTGCACGTTTCTCATTCCACAGGTGTTGAAGCCCATGAGTGATAATTTGATGGAGGATCATATGAGGCAGTCTGTAAAAAACTCTATCAAAGCAGGCCTGACCGAGCAGGTGTCTCACCATGCCAGACTAAAGACAGACTGACAGTTCATCTCCTCTTCGGCTCTGCCCTCTCATCCTAGACATGCTTGCTGTACCATGAGAACTCAATAATAAAAATAAATAAAAATAAACCAAAGTTTACAATCAACTGTAGAAGTAGTTTAGTGTGACTGGCTTCACAGATCGCTGCCATCACCTGGGAAGAGTAAGTTTGTCAGTGCTCTGCTTCTGAGACAGACGGGTGCTGTGGGGACGGCGGGGGGTGGGAAGAAAGAAGGGGGTCCCTTTTCCGTGTAGTCCTGGTGTGGGGGGAGGGACCTCCCCCCGGTGTTTTAGTCAATGCAGTCTCTGGCTCTTGGTGGGAGGGCGTTTCAGGGAAGTGTCGAGCCCAGGGAAGGGGTGCTCTCTCCAGCCGTCCCTTCCTGCCTGCGGCCGGCCCCTGGGGATGGAGGGGGTCAAGCCAGCGAAGCCCTTAGAGCCACTCCATCACCGTGTGTATCCTGCTTTATTGCCTTGTATGGTGGTGTGACACGTGTGCGTGGGTCCCTGGCGCCGGGGGGAG